TCAGCTGTGGGGACAGCGGGCGGCGGCAGGCACAATGGGGCCGGGGTGAACAGGAGTGGCGCAGTGCCCGGCCCAGGCTCGGGCTCCTCCCTGGCCACCTGCCACTTCACACACTACTATATCCGTTGGGGGATGTTGGACTGCCAGTGTGGGGATCGGGCCGAAACCAGCAGTCCGACATCTCCCGAGGGGTCCTGGATTGTGAAAGGGCGCAGGCCAGGCTGAGGGACCCCACCAGTGCACAAATCTGTGCACCAGGCCTCTAGTAGCATTATAAATGTTAACGTTAGATTTTACTTTTTTCACTGAGTGTGCATTATATTATCTTATATATTATTTAAAATAATTTTTCATGTACATGTGTTGTGTATTATCTATTCATCAAGACTATAATCCCTGAGGTCAATCATGTTTTTTAAAAGAGGAATAAACATTAAAATCATAGGTCAGGGAAGATTATCCAAGCTGATTCTCAAAAACCTTAACAAATTAGAGCAAATACATTAGGTTAGAGAGGTTTAGAGTGGATATAAGAAAAAAAAGATCATAAAAAAAGTGATTAGTTTAACTTGGATCTATTACAGCGATTTTCAACTGGTGTGCTGCAAGAATTTTTTAAAACATGCAATACCTGACTATTTAATCAGGGGCACTGACCTCTTTTCCTTTAGATTGTCAAAAAAAAAAAAAAAGTGACAACAGCCAACACAATAGCTAACCATCTGGTGTGAATGAATCAACATTATACCTATTTTTTGTCAGATCAGCAAAAAATATATTTTTTGTTGTACCACAGAATTTTAGTAATCAGTTTATGTGTGCCCTGAGATGAAAAAGGTTGAAACTCGCTAATCTGTTACATTAGGGAGAATTGGCTGGTGGATTTAAAAGTGTATAATCATAGCATTAGAGGGTTAAAAGGGGGAATTCTGTCATAACTGAATAGGGGTGTGGTCTGCTCAGGCTAAGGAGGACTAAGATAACAGTTTCTTAAAGCACTGATATAAGTGCATGGTCTTCAGAAATGGCTGATATAGCGAATACATTTTCTTTACAGACATAATGACTGTGTTTGTTACTGCCAGCCAGTTTAGTACGCTAGAGAAAGCACAGCCTGTGGATTTGGGCATACGAGCCCTGTGCCTCCATCTAGTCCTCCAGGTAACCATATCCCTACAGCTCCTGTAATCCTAGAGCAGGTACATGGATGCACTAAGTGGTGTAATGGGAGGGGGAGATAGCATCACAAGGATTCGTTTGATTATAACAGTAATCCACACCAAGTCAAAATAGCCAAACAGTTAAAAACGTGGTCTCTAATGAATTTGCTAATTCTAGCAGGCCCTCGCAAACATTTCCTGCCGGAGTGCCCCATATCAAAACGAAATAGCTGTGCTTTAATTACATGGAATAAATTATTCGATTTCCAGGAAGTTAAGACAGTGCTTTGTATTTAAATAAAAAGTTCTAGACACGCTGTGAAACTCGATCAAACCAACAAAAAAGGTGAAACCAAATGCCTATGCTGTGAGTCAAGATTTCAGCTGCTCAGCAAGCCTGACGTTACGGTTTACGAGCCCAGAAAAAGGGGCATTTTAAAACCGGCCGACCGGATCATGTCACTTTCTTATAGGAAAAGACTTGCCTTTGCAGAGATCTAGTGTAATGCAACCACGTGCTGTTGAGGGGCCTCAATCTTGCTGCCTTTGCCCCTCTGCACTGGCAGGAGCCCCAGTTTTCAGGGGAGGCGACCTCAAACTGTCGCTCTCACTTTTGAGGATCTTTTAAAATTCTGGGGTCTTTTATCTCAACGGCTTTGCAAGTGAGTTTGGGGTAGGGCGGGGGGGGAGGCCTGTGGGTGTCTGTTTTGCCTGAGGAGTTGGAGACTCTCGTGGAGAAGTCAGGCTTGCGCCGCTCCGGCGGCCGCTCCGGCGTGGAGCCCGCTCGGGTTAGACACATGCACATACACCATAGAGCTCGCTTTCCCGTAGCAGCAGCTGCCTCTGCCTCTGCCTCTCCCGCCTCAGCCTCCTTGCCCGGCATCCACACACATTCAGATTTGCGCGCTGTTTCAATCCTTGATGACGTGTCCCCGAAGACAGCCAATAGCCGACGGGCTCTGGTCAGGACAATGGGAGGGAGCGGACCAATGATCGGGCTCCGTGAGTTGGCGGTAGCCAATAGGAGGCGCGCTGGCTGGAGAGTAATGTTACAGAGCGGAGAGAGTGAGGAGGCTGCGTCTGGCTCCCGCTCTCACAGCCATTGCAGTACATTGAGCTCCATAGAGACAGCGCCGGGGCAAGTGCGAGCCAGCCGGGCACTGGGTGACTGTGCTCGCTGAGGAAAGGACTTAAACA